TTCTTCCAGTTAACAGTCTTTTAGTCTTAGGTGCATTGACTAAATCGAAGATACAACCTTCCCTTTACTTCCCACTTAGTACCGAAATTACTCTCCTCCACTCTCCTCTGGGAAGCAAGAAGGCTAGTGCAGCAGCTGTCAGGAACGAAGGCACAGGCAGAGCTGGGTAAACTGAGTTATGTGGGATAGGCTGTCACTGGACCCTGCCCCCACCACCCTTAATGGGGGAGGTCCCAGATCACCCTTGAGTTTTCCTATCCCCTATAGTTATTTCGTTTAAAGGCACACCCAGCAATGGTGCAGCCGGGACTGGGGTAAGCTGCACACAATCGCTATGCGGGGTGAGGACGTGAAGCTGCAAGACTCCATGGCACAGAGGATTCAGGGCTTTCCTGCCCTCACACACAAGGAGGGAGAGTGCAGGGGGATGGGGGGCAGAGAGGGGGCCCGCAACAGGTCAGCAGCAGGGCTGTGGTATGGTCAGTAGTGCACATACTTAACGAGTCTTTGGTACTTCTCGCTCATGTACAAATGCTCTCATAGGCACAGAGCTGGGAACAGGAAGCTCCTGCAGAGGATCACTGGCCTGACTCCTCCTGTGACTGCTGTCTGCTGCACAGGGACACAAAGCATATGAAGGCAGTCCACCTGCAGTGAAGACACAGACAGGCTTTAGAAAGGATCTCTTGAAGACAGTTACACCTTGAAAGGTGAACTTCCCGCCCGTTCTATTGAAGAACATGAGAAACTCCCAGGCTTTCTTGCCTGGGAGTAAAGGAAGGATCCATCCCTTTGGGGCCCTGGCAGAGAGCAGCAGGGAAAGGTTTTGAATGTCCAGAGAGCCACCCACCTCATAGGCCCCTGGGCTCTAGGACCAGCCAGTTCTCTGTGACCGTCTGCATGTCCTGGCCACTCAGAGGCTCCCGCAGCCTCACCTTCACCTCCAGCTTTCCTCCAGTGGGCTTCCGTCCATCAAGGACCTGTGAGGAGCACAGAGAGGGAGAGTGTTAACAAGCTGGGGACTGGGAGCTTCGTTCTGCTCAAACAAAAGGAGTCCGAGGAACTAAGACGTCTGCAGTGTTGAGTCTGATTCATGACCACCCGGGCCCTCCCTGTCATTTGGTAGTAGTTTTTAGTTGTCTCATAAGAACACATGATACAATGCAGATGCGCAGCTAGAGTCAGCAACCGAGTTTCCTTCTAACCCACCACACTGGCTCCCTCCTCCTACCAGGAGAGGGGTTAGCTGGAATGCTAAAAGTGCCAACAGGCCAATACAGACCAAGCCACACTAGGGTACAAGGCTCCACAAGGGCAGGGACCAGCAAGGGTCTGGTCCTATCTCTGCCAGGGGCACACGACAGAGCACCCTTCCTCTGGGTTTTAGTTTTCTCATCAGTCAGACACAAGTTGAGCCTGCAAAATCCCATGCAAGCTTGAAGAGCTGTCTAGGGGCTAATTCTAGCTGCATTCTGGTGGTGCCTTGCTTACAGAAACATCAACTTTTATGTTACGAGCTTGCTCCACTTCATATGTTGCCAGACGACTGCCCAACCATACCACTGTCTCCAGAAACCAAGGAATCTGCATGTGCTAAGTCAACAGCAGTCCTCAGAACTGTTGAGGATCCTCTCTAATCCACTTTCCTGGGAACTTGAAGTCCTGAGGTTTGTAGAAAGAGTATGGCCACTTTATATTTGGGGGCCTCTATAAGTTTCTCAGAGAGCCCTGGTGTGGCACTGTAAGGTAAGCACTTGATCATAAGGTTGATTTGAACCCCAAGGTCAGTGGTTCAAATTCACAAGCTGCTCCTTGAAAACCCTATACAGGGTCGCTATGAGTCAGAACCAACTTGACGTTACATAACTTTCTCAGACCCACTGAATATCGTTGACTGTGAAGTGTGCATACTGTCTGCTATACACGAAATAACGAATATTTAAAATTAAAGTAGTGGGCACACATCACAGAGACTATAGTCTAATGTTGGTTCTGCTCTTCCCACCTCTGGGTCCTACCTCCACAATCTCCCTGATCTCACACTCATTCTCCAGTCGCTCCAGCTTCAGATGGGCTGTGCCGACCAGTCTGTCGCTTCTGAAGAAGGATCTAGAGAGCCAAGAAACAGCAAAGGACTGGACTAGGCAAGGACGCAGGAACGGATTGGCTGACTGAGCCCAGTGTAAAAAAAAAAAAAAAAAAAAAAGGCAGTAACAGTGGGTAGCAGTAGCAACCACAGAAATGCTATTCCCTCTTCCTAGTCCACCATGGCAGGCCTCCTCACCCTTTGTGGAAGATTTCAAACTTGATTCCTTTGCTTTGAATCACCCTCCTAAAGCCCCGGTGGTTTCGGTTGATGTTTAGTTTGAAGAGTTGATCATATTCTGCAAGATAAGAAGAAGGTAAGGGATTTCCTGAGGAAGTGGAAAGCAGGCTTAAGTCTGGTCTTTCGTCTGGATTTCTCTGCCTGCATTTCAGAGGGATTTCCACCAGAGTCTCAAGTACTGACTAATTTTTGTGCTTGTAGTTGACACAGGCACTAGCCTAAAGATTGGAGGTTGAAGCACACCCTGAGGTCTCTTGGAAGACACGCCTAGTGATCTTCTGAAAGTCCACGGCACTGAAAACTCTGCATACATAGGGTCATTATGAATCAGAATTGACTCCATGAGAACCGACAACACATAACGGAGGGAAGGACTTGGAATTTAAAAGTCAGGATTTCTGAGTTCAAGTCTCATTTCACCCCTTGTTATGAGATTCAAGGCAAGTCACCACCTCCTAACTCACTGAGCTTCAGTTTTCCTATAACAGGTGGTGGTGGTGGTGGTGGTGATGTGCCATGGAGTCGGTTCTGACTCATAGCAACCCTGTACAGGGTTTCCAAGGCTGTAAATCTTTACAGGAACAGAACGCCTCATCTTTCTCCCGTGGAACAGCTGGTAGTTTTGAACTGCTGACCTTGCGGTTCGCAGCCCAATTCGTAACCACTACGCTAGGAGGACTGGTGAATAAGCTCTGCCTCTCTCACTCATACTGAAAGGAACAAGTAAGATCAAAGCTACCCAAACAGTCTAGACACAAAAGTGCTGCAGCTCAAGGAGATGCTTACCTGGCGAGTTTGTATTCTTCACCACGCTGGTTTTGCTTTTCTGCGCCTGGTCCTAAGAGCAATAACAAGGGAGAATTCGAGACAGCTTGGGGTAAACAAGAGACATATAGGGTTAGGGACTCAGCTACATCAGTGTCAAGGGACGGGGACCCCTGTAGGGAACTTCAAGCCCCTCCCTACAACAGGCCTGTCAAGTTTGGGAAAAATTTAGCACAGGGTCCTGGAATTGAAGAAGGGGTCCAGAGCATCCCACCTTTACTTGAACCTCACCGAGTTAGGGTAGTGGAACTCAAATCGCACAAATGCATCCAAGTCATCCGGGGTCACCCCTGTGAGGGGGAAATGGAGTCAGAGGGAGTGGCCAAGTCCAAGTCCTTGACTGTGGAGTGTCTGGGCAAGAGTCTATGGGGTTACCTGGAGGGGCTGGGAGGTTCATTCCCCGGACAATGATCAGATGCATTTCTGTGCTATTGAGTTCTGAGAAGATCCTATAATCAGGAAGCAGAAAGAACCCAAGTCAAGGAGGGTGGTGGACAAAGACACCTTTTCCAGTGCTTGCCAGTGGAGGCCAAGAGAGTGGGGCCAGGGACCAGGGAGAAAAAGCTGGTCTCAGCTAGAAGCAGTGATTCTGGTATTCAAAACTTCCATTTCCGACTCCCAGTCCAGAGGTCTTTCCACACAAATACATCAGCTCAGAGCTCCTCCCGGGCAGTAGCCTGTTGCTATTCTTCACCACTTCCCCAGTGTCTACAGCAGGACCACCCTGAAGTCTTCAGTCTGGGTTCCCTAACCTCTTGCCCTTTCCTATCTGGGCCTCTACCCAAGAAGGGCTCTTTCCCTCAGGTTTTCGCACCGTACAGTCTGGAATGTCTTCAACTCGAAGTGGTGACTGGGAGGGTCAAGGCCCTGGGCTTGAGCCAGTTGCAGGATCTCCAGTTGCTTTTTGCGGTCCTGAGCAAGCTTCTCAAACCTGAGAGGAAAGGGTGTGCATGTTAGCGTGACAGGGCTCTGTTTCTGCTCCCTGCCCCACAAGTCTACCCCAGCCTTACACTTACCGAGTGGTCTCCGCTACACTGCCCTGGTGCATGAACTGCTTGGAGAATAGCAGGCATTTCTGAAAACAGAGACCCAGCATGACATCAGAGCTCAGAGCAGGACCTGATTGCCTAGATGGGCAATCAAAGCCCATCTTCTTAAAGCTCCAACCTTCCTCCGTAGCCTCTCCCTTTCCCCCTAAACACATACTCCAAGGGCACTGGGTTCAAGTTCTGTCACAGTTTTCTGCCTAAGTTTTACTGTCTCCTCTTCTGACACCCTTTCCTCACAACTGACTTGGCAAACTCTGACGGAGCTTTCAAAGCCTAGTCCAAACATCATCTCAGAAGATTTTCCAGAAGAACAAGAAGCAATGCATTCATGTGAGGGGGGCTTCAAACAGTTCATGGGAAAACTCCATTGTCCACAAACTTTTAGAAGCCTTTATATACCTATATACCTGTAGCTACAAAATCTCTATATATATCCACACACATATATGCCTAAGGAGCTCTGGCAGCGTAGTGGTTACAAATCAGGCTGCTAACCGCAGGGTCAGCAGTTCAAAACTACCAGCTGTTCTGCGGGAGAAAGATGAGGCTTTCTGCTCCCATAAAGATTTATAGCCTCGGAAACCCTGTACAGGGTCACTATGAGTCAGAACCGACTCCACGGCACATAACAACAACAACACATACGTATGTTTACACATAGGTATGTATGAAGGGGCTCCAAAAGTCTGTGGCGCAATGGAATGAAATAATGGATTTTTCCACGTACTTCTGAAGCTCTCTCGTGCATATTAGGGAGCCCTGGTGGCTTGGCTGCTAACTGAAGGTTGGTTTGACCACTCCAGCTGCTCTGCAGGAGAAAGATGTAGTAATCTGCTTAAAGACTGTTAAGTGCCGTCGAGTGGGTTCCAACCCATAGCAGCCCTGTATACGGTTTCCAAGCAGTTGATGAGCTTGAACCTCTGACCTTGCAGTTCAAGCCAACTTTACAGTCCAGTTCATTAACCTGCAGCACCACACCAGGACGCCTCTATAGGTTACAGCTTTGGAAATCATAAGGGACAGTTCTACTCTATCCTATCTGGTTTGCTATGAGTCCACTCAATGACGACAGGCTTGAATTTAATTTTTTATTTTAGGCGGATATATACTGTATTTCTCCCTTAACATTTGCTATTCCCCACTACAAAGTACTTCACCCGCCACTCTGTTGTATGAACTTCGTAACCACCCTGAAAGAGCAGCATTATCATCCCATTTTGTAGATGAGGAAAATGTGGTTCAGAAGAGTACATGCTTTACACAGGATAAACAGCCAGTTAACTTGAAAAGCTAGAATTTGAAATCAGGCCTTTCTGGTCAGAGGCCTGTCCCCATAGGCAGGCTGTGGGCACGGAAAGGGGAAAACAGACAAAAAGCCTACTGACCTCATGTTGTTCCAAAAGCAATTTTTGTAGCTGGGCATAAACCTCCTCAGCTTTCTGGGAGAGTCTCAGGTCCTCGTGGTGGATGAAGATGAAGTCACCCTCCTCATCTGTCAAGGGTGAAGGCACCTACCCAAGTCACAAGGCCCCTCAGGGGCCCCAAGAGTCAGTTATTCTTCTGTGGAGCCCAACGAAGTGTTCATCTGCCTCAACTCAACTGTAGCGTAATGGAAGTTCATTTGCCTTCCATTCTACCCCAGGCTGCTAAAACACTCTATCCCATAGTGGTCTTGTCACCTTTGACCTGCCCTTCCTTGGTCTCTCGTGGGTTTATGGGAAGAGACTTTCCCACACTGTCACCAGACTTTGCAAATCTTGCCTCATCCAGGGATGTGCCCCCCCCTCGTTCAGTTCTCTGGCACCCACTCTGATACCCACCCACCTTCTGCCTGACAAGCCCTGGTGTTTACCCAACTGGGACTCACCTTGGAGAGATTGACAGGGTGGCCAGCTCGAACCTGGATGATCTGGGCCTCAAGACCTTTGGCCACCCGCAGATGGGCCTTGGCCTGCTCCAGGTCTTGGCCACGCTTGGCCTGAATGGCTGCCCGCTGGTACTGCAGTTTCCGGGCCTCCAGCATTGCCAATTGCTCCCGCACTAAAGGGAGGAAGACACTGGTTGGGGCCATGCCTGTCCCTCACTAGATCCTTCACCCCGCCAATTATCTTCTCCTGACTCACCTGATGGACTCAGTGATTCCTTAGAACCTGAAGGCTTGGGCTCAGGCTGTGGTCGGGATGAAGGGACCAAAGATTGTGCTGGCTTCTTTGCCACTGGAGCCTGGGCTGGGGGTTCATCCTGTAGGTCCCAGAAGACTGTCATAGGGTGGTCTGCTCCCCGCCCCTGTTACAGCAGCTCTCAGATTTGGGCTCTCTTCCTAATGCTACACTAACTAGCTTTGTGACCTAAGATGAGTAACCTTCCCTCTCTGGGAAGCTTTAAAAGCTCTCTGGTCTAAACTTCCCCAATAGGAGACATCAGGGCAACAGGGATCAAACCTGGGTTCTGAGTCTGAAAGAACTTGGTTTGAATCTTAGCTCTGCTAACTCCTAGCTGGGCACTCTTGGTCAAAATTGTCTCAGAGAACACCTACATCACTGGGCTGGTTGGCATGGACAATGTCAGGCACAAGGTCTGGGTTTACCCTTCACTGCTGTCTGTTTACCCTCATCAACCCCTGGGACTTGGGTCTCAGCCAAACCTCAGCCTCCTCATCTTCCTCTGCTGGGGCTGCATCCTCTGACGTGGCCAGCTTCTGAGCAGCTGCTAGTGCAGCTGCCAGTGTATCCTCTGCAGTGCCCAGAGTGGGCTCCAGGCCCGGGAGTGGGGGGAACCCTGTGAAGGAGAGAGACAGCTGGTGGGGGGGTGGCTTCCACCAGGTGGAAGCAGATCTGTGAGAGACCTCCTCCTAGAGCCCTTATTTCAAGCTCCACTCACCCGGAGGTACAGGCAGCTCAGCAAAGTCAAGTTTCCTACCAGCTCGATGCGCTCGAATGGCATCTTGATATTGCTGCAAGGGAGGCAGGGGGAGAGGCCAAGAATGAGCAACAGTTGGCAGGCTCCATGCTCACCACACAGAGAGGAAGAAACCAGGAGAGAAAGACAGCTCTGGAGGGAAAAAGGCCCCCAAGGTAGCAAAATTTCAGAGACAGACTGACACAACAAGACAGACTCTCGGAGACCAGGGCTCGCTGGGGAGCAGAGGGCCTGGCACAGAATGGGGCTGCACCGCTGCTACCCACCTTGGCGATGCGCTCGTGCATGCGGGCCTTGCGCTCATTGCCGCCGCCCCGGGCCTGGGCAGCTGCCTCCTGGTACTTGCTAAGCCTCTGTTGCAGGGCATCCAGCACAGTCTGTGGTTCTGCAGGGGCCACTGAGTGGGGAAAGGAAGTGACATCAGCTCTGCTCACCCAGCCCCAGCCAGTCATCCCTGCATCCTGCCCTACCTGGCGTCGCCGGGGCCATCACGGGCTGCACTCGCTCCACTGCCGGGGATACCACTGAAAGTGTTGTGGGGGCCTTGGACACCTGTGGTTTCAGGTCTGGAGGACCCAGAGAAGAGATGTAGGTGGGGGTTCCAGCCAGCCCCAACCTAACAACCTCCCCACCAACCCCACACTGACCCTCAGGTGCTGGGGGCATAGCACTCAGGTCCACGGGCTGTCCTCGATCCAAGGCCTCCAGGATGGCACCAAACCTCTAAAATAGGAAGAAAAGCAAATGTGGCTATAAGCCAGGGTTACCTGAAAACCTGCCTAAGAGCAATGCTCCCTCAAGCCAGTTTCACTCCAGCCCAGTCTAGCTGTGTGACCTTGAGCCAGTCACTGCCCCTCTCTGGGCCTTATCTGTGAAACAAGTGGGACATGGCCTCTCAGTCAGACACCATACCTTCCCAGTCTTCATGAGCTCTCGGGCATGATCCAGATCTCCAGCCCGTTTGGCATTAAGTGCAGCCATCTTATACGCTCTTTGTCGGTCCAACAGCAGAGCCCGAGGGTCTGGATCTGAATCCAGTGGGGCAGCAATGCCAGGACTGTCCAAAGGGCTTGTCTCAGGCTGGGACAGGATGTCTGTGGAGAAACACAAAGCCCACAGAGGACGTTGTTGTTACGTGCCATCAAGTTGGTTCCGACTCTTAGCGACCTTGTATAGGGTTTCCAAGGAGTGGCTGGTGAGTTCAAACCGCTGACCTTGAGGTTCAAACGGACCTTGCAGTTTAGTGCTACAGTGTCACACCAGAACAGAGCACAAAAGGGCAAAAAAAGATGCACACCTACAGCTCCAGGGACCAAGGACAGTGGCCTGAGGGGGAGGGCAGGCCACAACTCTGATCTTGGAAACCAGGGCAGGATTTGGGTGTCTCCAGATACCTGGTTCTACAGCCTGGGGCACTGGGGCATCTGCCTCAGGGCTCCTGTTGGCTGCTTCCTGGGAGGCCATGGGCCTCTTGCCCAAGGCGACTGGAGGTGGGATGTCATCTTCATTGATCTTCCTGCCTTTCCTCACTGCTGCCAGTTGGGACTCGAGAGTCTGAGGGAGAGGAACTAGTCCAGAAACCCAGCCAGCTACCTCAGCCTGGACCTACTCCAGGCCAGGCTAGGCCTCCTTCACTTCCACAGTGCCTGGACGAAGCTTCTGCTCCACTGGCCCCACCTTTCCCAGCCGCCTCTTCCATGGCCCTCAGCCCCACCACCCCAGGTCCCAACAAGCCAGTAGGCTCACCCACCTTCACACCTCGCTCACAGCGCCTGGCCTTGGCTGCTTCCCCTGCTTCCTTGGCACTGGCTGCCGCCAAGCGGTAGTTATGGAGCCGCTCCTCCAGCAGGGTCTGCAGCCCTGGAGGCCTTTCAACCTGCAGACACTTTACCTCAGAGCCTGGCCACTCCCTCCCAGTCAGGAAACTGCCCCACAAGATGGCGTTCTGGGACTCAAGACGAGAGACAAAGATTCCCAAGAGAGGCCAGAGGCCAACACACAGGCAACAATCAGTGGAGGCAGGAAATGGCTGAGGGGATGGTCTGGGAGACAGAGAGGCCTTTGAGGCCAGTCAGTCACCAAGGGGCTTTTCTTGCTGGGTTTCTACTTGGGACAGCTGCTACAGGGGACCCTGGAAGGATATGTAAGCCACTCTCCATGCCTGCTCCACATGGACAGTGAGGGGCACAGAAGCCCGAGGGTTCCTCCACAGCCTACCTGAGCCCCTGGGAATGTCTGCACTGGAGGGTCAGTGCTTTCCTGCCCCTTCTTGTCCTCCTCAGAGCCACCCAGGCTGGCTGCCATGTCGCCATCCAGGGTCCCAGCCTCTTCCTCCTCCACACCCAAGACCTCCTGCAGCTCACTCTGTGGAGACATGACAAGTCCCAGGGTCTTAGGGCCCTCATGGCCATGTCCACAACGGAATCTGAGAAGAAAGGGCCTTTTCCCCACTGGCAGCCACTGTGCCTGATGGCCTTCCTCAGCCATCACCCTCCTTTGATCTGGCCAAGGAAGGCCTTGACAAAAATGCTGCCTCCAAATCTGAGAGTCCCCCACTGTCGAGCTCAGACCAGAGCAGTCTCACACTGTCCAGCCAGGAAAAGTGAGGCTGCCTGGCCTCCCTCCCTTCCTCTCTGATGAGGACCAGCAGCTTACTCCAAGTCTGAGACCACAGGGCCAAAGCTCGGGCTTTTGTCACACCTCTCTCCCCCACCAGGAGCCTTTGGGCACCAGCCTGGCAGGACGCACCAGCAAGTCTGCATCCTCCTCCAGCCCTTCCTCCTCTTCCTCCTCTTCCACATCCCGCATACAGTCCGCTGCCAACTTCTCAATGTGAGCCATGGGCAAGGGAGCTGGGGGAAGAGGATCAGGGCAACATAGGTTAGGGCCAGGATGAGTGAAGGAGGGTCTTCAATCCACTGGGCTGAGTACACACTCCCAAGAAGAAATCCCATTTCACATCTATAACCAAAGTCCCACCACCCAGAAGACTCCTGCTCATCCTTCATGACCCAGCTCAAAACACTATCAGGGAAACCTTTCAGGGCTACTCCCTTCTTTGCATTTTATGACTCATAGACATATCCATTCATTCCCCACAACCACACCTTTCACCATCTGTAAAGGTTTTAAAAATTCATTTGCAATTCACTACTATTGTGCAAGATAAGTACTATTATCCCTGCTTTATAGATAAATAAACTGAAAATTACCAATGTTAATTTTACTCACATCACAAAAGTACAAATGACAGAGCCAGGATTCAAACCCAGGCTCATCTTACACCAAACCCGGGTTGGATGTACTGAGAGGTGAGGGTCCAGGGGTTCTCTCAGACCAGTGATCCCTTCCCAGGCCCTTCTACTGCCCTGACTCAGAGCCACTGGCAATGGGGGTGGTTATCTCTGAGGAGTTCTCCAGAGAAGCGTGGAGGGTCTAGGCTGTGGAGCATGAGTCCATTTATCTGTTCATAGGAGAGCTTCTGTGCACTCACTAGGTGCCCGTTCAGTGTTCAGTCCTTGCTAACTGAGCTTCTAAATGATTAGGGCTAAGCAAGGAGACATTAATTAGTCTTTGTGAGAATCAGATTTGTCCATGATGGGGAGGGAGAGAGTGTGAGCAGAGCCAGATGGAGAGAAGGACCAGCCCAGTACCAAGCCCACCCCAGTACTGTAAGCTCACCCTGCCCTTTGGGTGCTGGCTTCTTGGCCCCCGGCCCTGCCTCTCCAGTGAGGGCCAGCAACTCTGCCTCCAGGTCCGCGTCATCTTCTGTCTCTTCCACTCCCAGCAGCATGTCCTCAGGGTTGAACTCCACAAAGAGCCCCAGCTGAGTACAGAGATGACTCCTTAGGAAGCACACAATAGGCAGGAGCAGGGCCCAGCCCCAGAGCCCAACTCAGGGCTCCAGATGGAGGCATCAGGCCTCTTTCACTGTCTGTCAGCCCACTGTGCAGAAAAGGAAACTTAGGCCTGAGTTATTACCCTTCAGGACATTTATCTCCTGGTGATCACACAACTCAATAGATTACAGAGCTGTGATTGTAACTAAGAACTACAACAGCAATGGCTCAGCACTTTTAGGTGATTATTTTAGTGAATTCTCACAACGGAGTGGCAGGGCCTATTTTTATATTCATGCACAGCCAGATAAGTAGCAGAGCCAGAATTAAAACTAAGATCTTTGTGACTTGAGTTCAAGCTCTGGAAGAAACTGAAATGGCTCAGGGTTTGGGGTCAGGCAAAATAAAAGGAGAAAATTAGAGGACAGACCCATATGGGCCATGTCTAGGTTCCTAGCCCCTGGTCACAGCCCTCAAATCCTCGCATGCAAAGCTATGGCCCTAAATGAGGAACCCACAAAGCTGAGGCCCCATGAGAATACTCTGGACTTTAGCTGCTCCTAAGCCCACTAGACCATGAACATGAAGGGGGGATCAGTGCAGGATGACTAGCTAGAAGGTGTGCCATCGCACACTGCCAGTTCAGGCCTCATCCCCTACCTGTGCGTGTGGTAGGGGTTACTCACAGCGTCTCTAAGGGCTCTGCCACCTCCTAGAGGCACTGCTCAGCCTCCTGACTAATGAGGAAACCACACCGGTAACCCACTTCCCCCAAGGTCTAGAGACCCCTCTTTCCTCAAATAGCCGAGGATGAAAGAAATGAGATACATACCTGTTTGGCAGCTGCCACACCCTGGCCACTGGCCTTAGGACCCTTCCGAGGTCTTGGGCCTGGCATCCTAGATGTTTACCTGTTGGCAGTATTAGACAGACTGAGCCTGGAGCAGCCTTTGAGCCCTGCTCCCAAGCTGGAAATGTGAGCAGGCAGGCAAAACAAACAAAAATATTGTTTTGCCCACCTGCTCCCATTTCCAGCTTCATGAGGCTATTTCTTGTCTCGCTTTATGCTCCAGAAACACCAGGTTGGTCTTCCATTTCTTCGTGCAAGCTAAGCTGTCTCTCACCTTTTATCAAGTGGTTCTCTCTGCTTGGAACCCTAGAACTATTCCTTGCCCCCTAGCTTCTTCATGATGCAACAAAGACATCACAGATGGGATACAGCACCGAGGAGTATGGGGAAATGGAATGAGATGGGGACTGGTTGGTTATGGATTTACATGTGGGGGAGGGGCAGAACACGATATAAAGTTTCTAAACTAATTGAGAAAAGTAGATTAGACTCCAAGTTGGGTGGGGAGGAGCCCAGGAAAGCAGATCTAGAGAAGTAACTTTAGGTAAAAGGTAGATGGGAAGTTGGGTAGGATCCAGAAAGGACCTAAGGCCTAGAGTGGAACTGTCCAACATGGCAACCACAAGTAACTATTTCCGTTTAAACTTCAATGATCAAAAATTAAACATCTAGTTCCTCAGTCATCCTAGATACATTTCAAGTGCTCTAGAACTACTGTCGTTTCTGCACTGGGCAGCAGAACACACATACTGAGCACTCAGAGCATCACAGGAAGTTCTATTGGGCAGCATCGCTCTAGAGAAACTTGACTCAGCATTCTCACCCCCTTGGAGCCAGCACAACCAATCCTAGGACTGAGCACCAGGATTGTAGAAATGAGCCTCAAGGCACAGCTACATGAAGACAGGGCTTTCCCAGGGCTTTGGGCGCCTGGAAGAGGCAGCACGGAGAAAAGGTTTCTTGGAGGAAATGATGCCTGTGTTGCGTCTAGAAGGAGCAGGGGACAAGCAGAGAGAACCACCTGACAGAAGGTTCTGAGGTGAGAGACAGTTTGGCTTGGACTAAGAAAAGGACGATCAACTTGGTGTTTCCGGAGTATAAAATGAGACAAGAAATGGTAGAAGCGAAGTTGGAAATTCGAGCAGTAGGAGCAAAACAACCACAAAAATTTTAAGCCTAAAGGAGTTTAGGCATTATTCAGAGAACCGGGGCGAGAAGTGACAGGGCCAGGCTGGCATTTCAGAAACATCCCTCCAGCTGCACAAGGGCAGGTGCACAGTGGGGAGGAGGAACCACAGGGGGAGGGAGCCGCCCCCACTGAGCATCATGTCGGCTTAAGGGGCGTGGGGCGGCGTGAAGCGGCAGATTCCAGAGTTAGGTCAAATCCACAGGGCTCGGAGCTTAACTGGATGGGGGTGTTCGAAAGGAGCGCTCAAAATAAGTCCAAGTGTCAGATTTCGGTGACTTGGGTGCTTGGTGGGGCCCGTCAACTGCGATGGGAGTGGCTGGGCTACGGGAAAAGACGAGGTCCGATTCAGACACAACTCTGCGACGCAGGCGGCAAAGGTCTGGGGCCTCAGTGCTGGACCCAGGCCCGGGATCAGGAGGGAGATGGGCAGCGGAGTCCGCAGGTGGGGAGAAGCCCGGGCCTGTCTTCGCTGCGGTTGGCCTCGACGCCCTATCCCACTTAACCCTGTCACCTCCATCTCCCCCGCCGTCCCTTGATCTCCCCTTGCCGGGTGGCGGATACACTGCATACCTCGAGGTAGATCTGAAACCGAAATCAGACCTTCTGCGGCCTGGCACCGCCCTGGGCTCCCGCGGGCCCCGGGCGGCCACTGCGGCGGAAGCTCCCACCCGGGACTGTGCGCATTCACTTAACACGTGACACAACAGGCCGGGAAGCGTGCGGCACGCATGCGCCGAACGAAGTGGGCGTTTCGACAGGTGATTTCGAGCGTGTGGTTCCTGGTGCGCAAGCGCACCAAACAGGTAACGTGAGGCTCCGGAGAAAAGAGAAGGGTGGCTCCCTCGGAAGGTTCACCAGTTTACGCAAATCAAGTAAGTGGTTCTCCTCCCTGTCCCCTCACCCTTTCCATTTATAACTTCCCCCTAGCCTCCTCCCGCCCTTCTAATCTGAGGCTCCAGGTTGAATGCACACCAGGTCTAAATTGATTGATATAGGGGGCGGAGTCAGAAGAATCCCCACCTTGGAGACAGATTAAAGGGCGGGACATTTCGTTTGGGGGCATCCTTCACCACCCTCTCTGCCTCTTACAGTGGAGTCTAGAGGCCTACTTTGTTTTTCCTAGTCATTCAGCACTTAAATGTACCACTTTTCCAATCAGAAGGGATGAAATGAACATCATCCACTCTTAGAGGAGAGGAAGTAGAGACTTAAAGTAATTGTTACTTGCCCAGGATGTCCTTGTGTGGCGCTGTGGGTTAATGCGCGGCACTACAAAATTGTTTGAATAGCAAGGCATGTGGTTCAAGCTCACCAGCTGCTCCTTGGAAACCCTGTAAAAGGTCGTTATGGGTCGGAACCGACTCGATGGCACTTAACAAGTCAAAAACAAGCATCTATGGAGTCCTGCTAAGATACTGGACTGCAAGGTGGGGTTTCCAGTTCAAATCCACTAGCCGTTCCTCAGAAACCCTATACTGGGTAGCTGAGTCGGAACCCACTCTAGGGCACTTAACAACAATGCCTCTATGTTAAAACAAACCTTGCCACTTCACTTTTTGTGCCTCTCTTATCTCCATGCTTTTGAAACGATTGTTATTAGCTTCAAAAATCTTTTACTGTTTTTTTTTTTTTTTTTTGGCAAATACTTTTACATCTCTGCATTAGGTGGTTTTCCAGAGATGGAACTGACTTTACCGTTTTAAAATGGAAGTCTCACTCCTGGTTTTTTGTTTATTCCTTTAAATATTGTTTTTAACTTTTATTGAGCTGAAATATGTATAACAAGAAGTTTGTCACTTGAACCATTTTTAACTGTACAAGTCAATGACAGCACATTCACCATGTTGTTCAACTGTCACAATTATTTCCAAAGGCCTTTCATCATCTCAAATAAACTTCATTCCTTCATTCTCCAGCCCCTTATTTTATTATTATTATTGTTGGTATTGTAAAGTTCTATCGAGTTGGTTTTGACTCCTAGCGAGCCTGTATAGGGTTTCCAAGTAGTGGCTAGTGAGTTTGAACCATCATCTTTGCAGTTAGCAGTCCTATAGCACCACACCAGGACTCTATTTTATCTTTAGTGACCATGAATAAACCTTTTTGTCTCTAGTTGCCTATTCTGTATGTTTCATATTTGTTGTTGTTAATTGCTCTTGAGTTGATTCTGACTCATAGCGACCCAGTATAGGGTTTCTGAGGACTATCTGGTGGGTTTGAACTGCCGACCTTATGGTTTACAAGCCTGTGCTGATTGTACAGTACCATATAAGTATTCTTTTACTATCTTGATTTACTTCAGTTACTTTATTTTCATATTATCAAGATTGTAGCATGTATTATAATTTCTTTAGGGCAGAATAATATTCCATTGTATGACTGCCACATTTTGTCTACCCATTTATCTCTTGGTGGACACTTGTTTCCACCTTTTGGCTGTTGTATTACCAGTAAACATTGATGTATAAGTATCTGAGTTTCTGCTTTCAGGTTTCTTAGGTATCTAGGAGAGGGATCGCTGGGTCATATGGTAATTCTGCATTTCACTGTTTGAGGGTCAGCCAATGTTGCAGGCTGCACATATTGGGGTGTTGACGACCAGTGTCATGGATGAAAATCCAGCATGTGGCTGTACTCAGACTTGCTGGCCAGAGACCCTGAGGGCTCAAGGAAGTAACCTCCGGACGTCCTGGGTTCATTGGCTTTTACGAACTCACTGTTGGGCTACCTCTGTATAATTCTCTTTAGTCCTATTAATTCATGCTATGCTTTGAACTCCTGTAACTGTAGCCTCTGAGAAAATGGTTTCTTATGTGCCTCTCTTAATGTCTCCACTGTGTTGGCAGTGCTTAAGGTTCTGGGAACAAATCTTTTTGAGGAACAAACTCTGGCCACTGGGCAAGCTCGTCCAAACTGTTTATCAATTATTCAGTTATGTTTGATATTAACTTAATGCATGAGCCCTTGATACCCATGGACAAATATTAAAACAAAAAACTGCTCCTAAAGCCGAGGCTGTAAAAAGTTCCAAAAGCAAGTTTCTCCCAAGGAATTAACTCAGTATATTGGCGTATTCCGGGGCTTTGTCTAAAGAATAATAGGAAACCATTCAGCTAGGCGTCTTGCTTCTTCCTGCAGGCCTCAACCAGCCAGCCGACACAGCGGGACTCCTTTCAATCCTTTTCACATTTTTCCCATTTGACATTAGGTGCTATGTTGTTGTTGTTGTGCCATTGAGTCAATTCCAACCCATAGCGATCCAGTACAGGGTTTCCGAGGGTGTAAATCTTTACGGGAGTAGAAAGCCTCATCTTTCTCCCGCGGAGTGGCTGGTAGTTTCGAACTGCTGACCTTAAGGTTTGCAGCCCGATTCGTAACCACTACTAATTAGCCTGGAGAAACTGAGTTGCTGCCCTGGGATTCGAACCTGAAAAGTACCATATAATAATTTGCTTGAATTTCTGGAAAATTAAGGATGTTAGATTATCAAGACAACTTGTGATGTATGTTTTAGAATTTGATTCCTGTAAATCATTGTGTCCTGTTTTGAACGATTAATCACCTTTCACTTCTGTACCCCGTCTTAATAAACCCCGCCTTCCTTTATGTAAAACTCCTCCCTGAAATAAAACGGAGGCGCAGACCGAAGCCCGCATGCGATGCGTTATGGCTGGCATGCGAGGCGTTAACAGCTGACAAGGCATGCATTAAGGTTTGCAGGGCAGTGCTTTACTGCCTGCAGGGGCCACGATGCCCGTAGTCCAGGATCTGTCCGCCAGTGTCGCATCCACTCTGGTCTTGGGGTGTCTTCTTGTCTCTCTCTTTGCGTCTTTGTGTGTACTTTTATTCTATCTCTGTTGCCACCAGATCTCCCTCCTTTGTGAACCTAACCCCCTTGTCGAGTCAGGACCCCGACAAGCCAAATTATATTCCATAGTGGCTGCCATTTTATATATCCATGAACAATGCAAGAGGCTTCCAGTTTCCCCACATCCTCACCAATACATGATAGTTTTCATGTTTCTGAATATAGTAATTCTAGTGAGTGTGAGGAGTCCTCGTGTGGCACTGTAGGATAAACACTGGACTCCTAATCACAAAGTAAGTAGTTCAAATCCACCAGCCACTTCTCAGAAATCCTATACAGGGTCACTATGAATTGGAACTGACTTGATGGCACTTAACTGGGGGTATGAAAGGATCCCAGGTGGTATAGTGGTTAAGCGCTCTACTGCTAACCGAATGGTCAGTGGTTCAAACCCACCAATAGCTCCACAGAAGAAAGACCTAGTAATTTGCTCCTGTAAAGATTATTGTTAGAACTTGGACATTGGCTACCCAAAATGGGGGAGGGGAGGGGGCTACAAAGGCAAGAATTGACTGGCTTACAAGCTTTCAAGAGGGAACCTAGATCCAGAGGGCGTGGAGGAAGGTAGAATCTCCACTGAGTAGTATACAATCTGTCTAGGCGGGGCTGATGAAAGGAGATGGGGATAGGTCTCTTGTGATACAATATTGAATAACTCTTCTCAGGACTGATTGTGAGGGTTGGAAATGTAAAGGCAGACATTTTGTAGCAAGGAGGGGAATGATTAATTTTTTAGTCTAGGAGCGGAGGTCCCTGGGACCATCAAGGGAGAAGAGCGGAGAGCGGGACCCTACCCAGAGAAGCAGTGATGCCTGAGATGGAGGCAGAGATGATGACGTGGAGAGATGGAGCAGCTGGGTACTTTAGACCCAGAGAGGGAGAGGGGCTGTGTGCTGACAACCGGGAGGGAGTAGGCTTATAGTGTATACCCTTTGGTTAGCTAACGATGCATGGAGGGGATTGTAACCATGGAAGTGAAACAATATGTGATAGGAGGAATGTAAAATTAATGTTCTCCCATGTAAACTATCACATAATTCACAATAAAACATTTAAAAACAACAAATAAAAAGATTATTGCTAGGTGTCCTTAAGTCAGTTCCGACTCACATGACCGGTAGTGCCTTGAATTTACTTGATGCAGCTTTTCTATCCATCAAGTGATTGGATTGTTGTTGCAACTCATAGCTACCCTATATAGGGTTTCTGAGGAGCAGCTGGTAAGCTTGAATGCTGACCTTGCAGTTCAAACAAGCTTTGCAGTCTAGCGCATTGCATTAACCCACAGCACCACACCAGGATTCCTCAAGTGATTGGGTTGTTGCTGTTAAGTGCCGTAGAGTTGATTCCGACCCATAGCAACCCTGTATAGGGTTTCCAAGGAGCAACTGGCTGAGCTTGAACCACCGATCTTGCAGTTCATACAACTTTGCAGTCTGACTCATAGAAGTTATACAGGACTCTAAGTCTGGGATTAGTTAGTTTTGTCCTCTAACTAGGTTTAAAAGAAGCCAAAGAAGAGACAAGATACAACGACCATCAAGAAGGAAGAGCATCACTGATAAGGGGAAGTGAGGGAAAAACATCAATGAAGCTGCGAGCTAAGCCCTACCACATTCAATAGACTCCTGTGAACCCGGGTAGAGAGCTGGTTGGCCAGCACTATGGCGAGACCTGGGGGCTCTTGGGCCCAGAGTCAGTGACATAGCCACAGAGGACTAGAGTGGAGAGTGAAACGTCCAGCTGATAAGAAGAGAGGGCATATGCACAAGAACACCCATACTTGCAGATAATACCCACTTTATCTGGCTTCAATGACTGGATGATCAGACCTCAACTAGAAGAATAGGAAAAAAAAGACACAATTTGATGAACTTGACCTATACCTATGATTGCAGTAACTTAAGAGGGGACAAATCTTTACAGCGAGGATTATTCTCACAATCTGACACAATTTGATGAACTTGACCTATACCTATGATTGCAGTAACTTAAGAGGGGACAAATCTTTACAGCGAGGATTATTCTCACCCCCTCCATAGAGTAGATAGGGATGGGCAACTTGGACACCCAAAATGGGGTATGGGGGGCTACAAAGGCAAGAAGTGACTGACTTACAAGCTTTCAAGAGGGAGCCCAGGTACAGAGGGAGCAGAGGAAGGTAGTATGCCTACTGAGTAGTATCCAATCTGTTTGGGCGGGGATGATGAAAGGAGATGCGGATAGGACTCTTGTGGTATAATATTGAGTAATTGTTATCAGAACTGACTGTGAGTGTTGGAAATGTAAAGGTAGATGTTTTGTAGCAAAAGGAGGGGAGTGATTGACTTTTCAGTCCAGGAGAAGAGTGGAGAGCAGGACCCTACCCATAAGCTCTGCAGTGTAAAGATATACAGTAGGATGAATGTAAAATGAATGTTCTCCCATGTAAACTATTACATAATTCACAATAAAACATTAAATAAGTAAAGTATTGCTATTAGGGTTCCAGTTCATTCATGCACTAAGTTTATGCTAAGAAAAATATGTTAATAGACAACTTGTCTTAGCTTGTTAGGGTGCCTTCAAAAAGAGGTCCTGTCAAAACAGTGACTTCCAAAGGGATCTTCTGGACCAGTTAAATTCAAGGCCAAGAAGTCAGCTCAGGTTATGGTAACTGTTTTGGGAATTTCAAAAGGGTAATCTTAATAGATTTTTTCAAGACATAGGATGATTAAGAAAATTGAAACTTGTATTGGTGAGAAAAAGGGCGGAAGAATTGTCCTGAGGAATTGTTTTCCATTACAATGCATTTGCTCATTCTTCCAGGGTAGTAGCAAGGGCTGGCTGTCCTAGGCTCATTTAATTAGAAAATTTACCCCATCTAACCTCAGCCCTGCTTTTGCCCTTTCAAACTTTTTGAGTTCCTCAAGGATGAGAAAACTACCTTTTACACGGTGCAAATAGAAGCATGCAGAATAAAGAATTTTTCAGAGAAAGGTTAGAGAGATGGAACTACCATGTGTAGTGTACAGACAGAGATGTCAAGAAAACACTAGCTTCACATTTTGATTTTTTTCCTTCTTTTCAATAGTAAAGCTATTGATCAAAAAAACAAAACAATTAACATTTTTATAGCCCTGAAATCTTTATTTTACACTTATTATTATAATTATTATATCATGAACTGATTGCAGCAGCTCAGGTCCCTTTCCATTGGTTCTCACAAAGTGCACCTCTCTGAGGGTCTTGGGGGAAGTAGTCTGGTGCTTCAGGTAAACCCAGGTACATTTCTCTTTGGCTTCTTTTACTGATCATTTTCTTCATGCACTCTTAAGAGTGCTTAATATTCTCAATACACACATTAATCCTCTTGGCAAGAATCTTGCCCTTGTTTGTTCACAATGCAGTAGTAGGCTGGGTCACGTACTCCTCTAGTTTTTGCCATGGTAACATTTGTGAGGCATTCCTTGTGAACCATGTCCATTTCCTGTTGTCCACAGTACCACCTGTCTTATAGATTCACATGTTCCATTATGTGGTCAAAGGAGCAACGCCATGCTTTCTAAAGGGCCTAGTGAACATAAAGTGGGCACATCAACTCTTTTGTGTTTGTCATTTTGGTGGATTACTCCAAGACCATGGTTCTAGCCAAAAGCACACTTGGATTTCGGAGCAATGCTTTTTGCTTTGTCCTCACACTGTGGTCAGAGGTTGCCCAGTAGATGTTAGCATTGCAAACCTGTACGTATGTTGGCACGGAATCAGTGGTAATTACCACCAGAGGGAGGGCTGATTGCAGGAAGGGCAGTTTGGTTTCATAATCTGATGTTTGTAAAGTGTGGGGTCTTTGTGAGTCAGGGGCTAACTCCACATCAGGAGCAGTAACACAGTGACTGTAAACTTTACAAACACACTGGAAAAATAAATTTACTAAAAGTTCATAATAGATGACACAGCCATTCCCATTTACTATACTTTACGACAACAATTCCATGTGCTTAGAAAACAAAAATCAGTCTTTAAAAACCAGCATCAGGCTACACTCCATCCTTGTTGGAGCCCCTCACTCTTCTTTCAGTGCATACAGCACATCGTCCTGGCTGACGTTGAGCCGCACGCGAAGGAGCAGGTCGTTCCTGCTGGGCTCCATGAGGAGGAGGCGGCAGGAGCCCAGGCGAGAGCACACAGCCATGGTTTCAGACATGGTGGGGTAGGGCAGGCCCTCCATTCGGCACAGCACCAGGTGTTGGCTGTACACCTGCACAGGGAAACAACGCTGAGGTGAGCTGCCTACAGGGGTCTGGGTCTGACCATTGATTTCTTTTTGGAAACCAGACACTTGGTACCCAGGATCTGAAATACCGAAGAAGCCATCAAAGGTGGTGTCATGATGATGTACAAATGTGGAGGCAGGATGCAGTGTTGGCCTCGGAATCAAGCACCAGATCCGAACCCTCCCATTTACCTGTGTATATAGCCTCGGGCAGTGACTTCACTATCTGAGCTTTAGTTTTGATTTATAAAATGTACTGCCGCATCCCTCATGAACTAATGCATATTCTTAATTAATAATTCATCCCTCATGAATTAATGCTGAACAGTGCTGGTTTACACCATGGAATCGGTCAAAATTCCAGTTCAATTTTACTACAAGGGCCTTTCCCTTAGCAGATAACAGTGAGCAGATACCATAGCATGCATGACCCTTGTAAAAGCACAAAGTTCTCAAGAGAATATTGAATAAGGGGGTGCAGAGGATAAGCCAGAAATCCATCACAAAGCCTCCTGTATGCCAAGTGAGTCTGGTACTTCCTGGTCACCCTCGCGGATTCAGCTTAAGGCCCCTGGGAGCCATCAGTTAGTGATGCTCTGTAGGTGTTCAGGAAATGATTATACACTCAACTGAGCCACCCTGTGCAGAAGAGCTCTCAGCTGAGAAGGGGAATAATAAAGGTCAAAACATGACCAGCATTGAGTTTTTATTTAATAAACAGTGTACCACCGACACATTAAACAAGTAGCCAAAAGGAAAATGTTGTTCTGACCTATGTTAATTAAAGAAAGATGCCTAAAGCATACAAGTTGGGTGTATACTTTCTCAGGTACAAACTCAGACACATATTCAACAGTTTATCTTCTATGGCAGCTCGTTACCTATGGAGACCAATCTTAAATGAATCTTAAGGCATGCATGCACTCTAGGGATCCCGTTTATGGGACCTCAGATAGTATCCATTACAATGTAATCTGTACTGGGGCAGTGACTTTTATCTTGTTCCTCTTTACATCTCCTGCTCCTAGAATAGCATTTAGCAGAGGAGGTTTTCAAGACACTGTATAGACACAACTCCTAAAGTTTCTATCACAGAAAAGGATGAGTAGGTCTGGCCTGGTATCTTCTCTCATAATCAGGAGGCACAAATAGACAAACTGATAGACACAGATTGAAAATTTCATGTAATTTAAAGGTACCTGACCCGAAACCCAGAAGAAGATTGATTACCTGTTGAAATGTTGCTTCTTCTAGACCTGATCGACGGAACTCGGCAAGGATGGCTCTCAGGAAGCCCTGCTCCAGGACTGAGGCGTTTCTTAAAAGAAAGAAAGAAACATGAGTTCTCTATAGTGGCCGGACTACCAGTCCAGAGAAAAAGTCAAATGACTTCTCTGTGTCTTTAGAAAAGTGAAACAACTGGGAAATATTTCTCCTATAGTTAATCTTTCTGCCTAAAAGTCTCAAACTGTTAGAAAGATGGTACTTGGGAAATAAGGGAACACAGCAGGTATACCAAGAAATGTACCAGTACTTCAGTGACACCAAAACCCTCATTTCATGAACTATATTACCCACCATTTCCTTTTTATTCCCACAACACGTGTGCTCCCCACTAACACCTACAATACAGCCCAACAGATGGTAGTCCTTATCTGAGGTTACTGTTGTCTCCCTGTCTTCCTTAAGAAAAGGAACATCTTCAGTAAATCTAAACTGAATCACTAAGAGCTTTGAAAGAGAAACACTGTTTCCATGGACTTTTCAGGCTCTGGATCTCTCCAGCTGAGGTCTAGTAGGTTAAAGAAGAGAAAGCCTCTTACTTGATGGCAGTGATGTACGATGATGCAAACATCTCACCCACAGCTTCCAGTAAGTGGGTCACAGTGACCAGGCCAGGGCCATGAGGGTTCTGGTGAGAGAACTCACAGATCTCGGTGGCACGCCTGCAAATGTCCAGGCAGCGCCGCACATCTCCAGAGAGGGCTGCTACCTGCAAGAAGGACACTTTAATTGTTGGAGGGCCCTGCGATCCTGGCCTTAGAATCAGAACAGCTGGTCTGCAGCCTGCTTCTTCTATTTACCTAGCTGTCCAAACCTGGGCAAGTGACTTCACTTTTTGAGCTTCCATTTTACCTATAAGTCATGCTGTCACGTCAATTCTGAGTGTTGTGAAAAAGGAAAGGTGGTGCTGGAAAGGGAAGTCCTGAGCTCTGGCCGGGAACCTTGAGGATGCATAGGAAGCACATTATTCTGCTCTGTTGGAGACACTATACCTGAAGTCCAAACACTTGTCTTGGCATTATTCCATAATGAAAGGGACAGACATTCTGAGCTTTGTTTAATATTAAAGTCTAGAAGAAGAGACCCTTAGCCCGAAAACATTACTGATCCATCTGAAAACAGGCAGGTTCTTGTTCCTTGCAGTAAAAGAATAGTGTGGTGGAACAATATACACTTGTTTGTGGATATTCATCTGCTACATGCTTAAATTTATGATATAAGTAATTCTCAAAGTGAGCACTGAGTGGCTACTAATTTGCTACCCCTGCTAGAGAGTAAGATCCCCTAAGAACTTGATTGAACCTCAGCATAGTGATCCTGCTTGGTG